TATATATATGAAGTAGCTAAAAAAATGAAGTGGCTTGATTTTCGGACATCACATCTCACATCTGGGTTGAAAAAAAGAAAGAAAGAACAAAGAAGATAGTTAGCCCGTAGCCAAGACAGGGAGCGATTTTTTTTTTTTGGGTGGGGGGGGGGGGAGGGGGGGGTGGGGGAATGATAAGGTGGAGAAGGGAGCTATGAGATGAAAGCGTGGCCCAATCAGAACTCAACACGCAAAAGTATGGCCGAGAAGATCTGTACAGAAAATTGAGTTGGACAGGTGGGTCCCATCCTCCCCATAAGTTTATGGAGTTTCATTTAAAGCTGACTGATTTTGGTGAATTAGTTTTGTTTTATTTGAAGTATCGTTTTCAAGGATTAGTGTTTTAGTCCCGGACACGTCAGCACTGTCTCCGATTACACCTTCTCTCTCCTCGTCAGCATCTTCTGTCGTTTCTTTTGGACCAAGCGTAAGTTTTGTTTTGTCTAATTTCTTCCCTTACATCATTACATTCATCCCTAATAACAAGTTTATGCCATATTCTTTATATTTCTTTTACTTGTAGCAAGAGATAACAGAAAAAAATTATAAATTATAATAATTTTGATCTTATTAAATATAGTTTTTATAAAATTATTATATAAATTAATTAAATTAAATCTTAAATTTTATATTCTCTATCTTTATTTTTAAGAAAAAATATAAAATCTTAGTAATTATTAGAAGCATTGAAAACTTTATCCTCCATTTTTTTCTCTCATTTTTAATTAGCTTGATAATAAGAATTCAAAATTTTATCTTTACTGGTATGATCCGAACATCTAATTTAATAATATATAATAAGATAAATATATATCAATCATTAATTTAAATATTTGATTACATTTAATTTAATAATTGATACATATTTTTTATTATTTAAAGAGTTGAGATCAAATTTATAATGATTCTTAATATAAAAAAGAAAAAAATAAAAAGCAAGAATATGTTAGGAGGACAGGAATATTATTGGTTATTGAATATGTTGTGCCACTTTGTATTGTCAAAATGCAATAAGCGAATTCGCTGGATTAGTAGGATTGGAATAACCAGTAATATTGTAATTAGTAAAAACAATTTAAGATAAAAGTGATAGTGTGGACAGTAATTTTCTTAATTAAAGCAGTCTATCGAAGAAACTCGCTCCGTTATTACTCTCTCAAATCATTAACAAGTTGAATTTCATTTTATTTCTGTTCTTTTTACATCATTTCTTTTTTTTTTTTTCTTTCAAGTTCGATGTAAGTGGAATTTGATTCAATTTTTATTTAAGGGAAATCAAATAACTGATTCTTGATTCCGACTTTCTTTTTCGGGTTTGTTGAGAGATAAGTTTTTACCATTGTATTTTAGAAGCGAAAAAAAAAAGGGAAATAAGTAAGGAAAGCAATTTAATTTAAATCCGATGTATTTTGATTTGATTTAATTTTTTATTTTTTTTTTTGAAAATTAGATATCATGTAAGATAATAGTAAGAAAAAAAATTAAGATTGAATTTTAAGCAATCTTAACTCGGCCCGATATATATATATATATTATTTTAAAATTAATTATTTAAATTTATATTTATATTTTTTAATTTTTTATTTAAAATAAAAATAATATTTTATATTTAAAAAATAATATTTTATTAATTTTAGGTTAGATAAGATTAAATTTATATTTTTTTATAATAATTGAATTGAATTTAAAGTAAATAAAAACCTATATCAACCTAATCCATCATCATCCCTAATTTGAAATAAAAAACTGTAATAGGTTCTTTAGAATTTGAGGAGAAGAAGATATTAAATGAAAATATTTTGGAATCTTAATTTGAAAATAAGCAAATTTTCATACTTTAAAAACAAATTTGAAAATAAATGCCTCAATTAGCATTGTTGATGGATCGTTATAATATCTTGAAAAAATTAAAAAAAAAAGATGTAAAATTTTGAACAATGTCCCAAGGATTAAAAATTATAATTAAAGATAAACAAATCTAATTATTCACTTCATTGTGTTGGAAATGACAACACCATTAAGCATCGATAGAAAAAGAAGAAAAGTAAATATATAAAACAACATAGCGTAAAAAAAAAAAAAACTTAATTGCAACTTGACAATAGCCAGTTAAATTTATCAATTAAGCTGAGTTTAAATATTTTTATATTTAATTTAAGTAATTTGTGATCTAATTAAATTTTTTATATTTTAATATATATTTTTTATTTTAATTAATAAAATATTTTGAACTTCAACTTAAACTCGAATACAAATAATTAAATTTTTTATCGACTATAAAAATCAAATTTATTTTACATATTAATTGAACTTAATCGAACGAATTTAAATAATTAACTTTTATTTTGAGTCAAGTTTGAGATAAAAAAATAAAATTTGATTAAATTCAAACAAAATTTTAAATCTTAAATTTTGAATTGAAAATCAAATTTGAATTTAATATTGTATTAATTTAAACTTAATCAATTATATCTTTAATCATATATTTATTGACATGGCATTTACCGGACAAAATTACTCCACTTGTGGAATAAAATTTGAAAATATTGAAAAAAGTTTTAATTAACCTCAGTATTTAAAAAACCTCCAATATAATTAATTAATAATTCATTTTCCTAATTCTTTAGACACTTCTTAGCTGCTAAACTGCAAATTTATCCTTCTCTTAAAAATTATAGCACTTTGATAAAAGAAAACGTGAATAGATTTGTCATTGTTGCAAATGACAATATCTAAAATATATTTAATAATTTAAATATAATAAAATAATATGATATAAATGTAACATAAATTAAATTATAAAAATAATATAATTTAAAATTTAATAATAATTTTATAAGTTCAATAAAATTAAATATATATTTTATATTTTTATATTGATATAATAATGATATTTAATTTTTATATAATATATAATATAAATACATATAACTTTTAATATTTTATATTTTATATAATAAATTTAACATAAAGTGACTCTAAATAGACTACCGTCGTACCATTTCATGGTCATCATTTCTGTTTCTATCCCAAATTTGTCCTTATTTATTTGAATGAAAAAAAAAAATTCAAACAGGCCCCGCTTATCTAGAAATTAAAGGAAAAAAAAAGGACATATATATCGGACGGTCACCATTTGCCGCGTTCGTGACTGGTAAATGAGGCTCTAATCCACTAGTCCATGTGTAGCGTTACGCGATTAAGATAAGTGCAATCATTGCCAGTATCACGTGATTTCTTTTTTTTTTTTGGGGGGGGGGGTGTTATCCTCATGATCTGGACGCTGAGATACTGATGACGATGATGATGGTGACCCATTTGGTAATGTGCAAAATTCACAAGCTGACATAATCAGACGAAAGGCAAGATCCATCACGCCTCTTCCAAATGACTGAATCGGTCACCATCTAAATATATATCGAGCTTGATTTTGAACTTCACTCCAAATTTTACTCCTCAACTTTTAGCCTTTGGATTGAATTTGGGTTTGTTATTTTCATCAATAATTGAAACCTAATGGAGTCACCATGGCTCCTAAATCATACTCATTTCCTATATATGATCATTGAGATTCAGACATTTCATATACATTTGGTGATTTAACAATGCAATTATAACTAATTTGAACTTTCATTCTAAGCAAATTTTTTTTTATAATTGTCAAATTCCGCTAAATGTAAAACAATTGCCGTTAAATGTAACTAAAAAACATTATTAAAGTTTTACATTGCAACTGGGCTTCCTGAGTTCCATTTGGGCCCAAAGCAATGGATCTACCACCCAACGATAATTCTAAAACAGGAATTTTGTCCCATTTTGGGCTTGTCATTTCATAATAACATATTTTCAATACTGAAATCAAGTTAACATAGTTGTCAATTGCAACCAAAATATAGATATACTTTATAAAGCTCTTGAAGACCACTTCTAGGTTTTAAGTTACTAATTTCCCTGTTTAATGTATACATATATCACTGATGATTAATAATGTATGTACAAAAGACCAACAACTTTCTTTCAACAATTGACATGTTGTCGTGTAATGTAATTGGGGAAAGAATTAAAATCATGCATGTTTTTGGAGAATATGATTCGTGGTTAGGTGATTTCTTAATTTGGCCAAAAAAATTTAGGTGATTAACAAGCACAAAATATTGCCTAATAACATGCATTTACTTACTCCTTTTAGCACTATATATGCTATTATTATTATTATTATTATTATTATAATTATATCATGTTTTAATCTCATCGTGTACGGATTATCTAATTTTATATTTATTTATTAGTTTGTTTAGTTTATTATCTGATTTATTTACCTATTGAACACAATTATGTCATTTATATTTGTGAGGGCAAGTTACAAGCACTCTTAGTTAGTTAAATTGAAGAGCTTTGTTTGAAGCAACAAGGAATGGAACATTAGCTAAAACTCAACCATGCCTTAATTTGGTTAATAAAAACTATCCATTTCTCCTTAGTTTTCGGTTTGACTGAGAGCATTGAATTCAAGCAGATTGAATAATGAAGATTATTACTGTGAGCTGAATATGAAATCCTAAGGTCCTACTTGTGTCATTCAAATTCTAGTGCCCATTAATGGATAGTTGTAGGAATTTAGATAGCTTGTCCAACTGATTTGGTTGCTATCTCATCAGTTCAGTTGCTAGACCTCACGATTTGTTTATCTGTGTCATATTTATTTATTGTATTAAATGCACTTTTTAAGTAAATTTAAAACTAGTTTTTGTAAAATTTTAAGCTATCACATCTTTTTTTTTTTTTTCGTATCATTTTGTCGTGTTTAAAATTACCACTAATACTCATCATTTTCGGGTTTTGTTATCATGTTTTAAATTATCATCAGATCTCGTTATCAAAAGGAAAAATAACTACTGCTCTCTAACAAAAACAGCCAGCTTCTTCAGTTTAATGACTCACAACCAGATATAGGAATAGAATACCAAACAAAGAACAGGTACAGACATTAATTCAAGTATGGGATTTAACAAGATATATTTACAAATACAAAGTAAACAACCCTCCCCAACCTTAATCCACTCCTTCTCTTTTACAACCCTCATAACAAACAACACAACCTCAAATTTCGAATAGACAGGAGAACCCCTTGGCATGGCTCAATCCTAGTGACCCCCTTGTCAAGGGTATCAAAAAGGGTTTTTTCTTTTAGACCCAAAAGAAATAATTAACAGACAAAATAATAGTGAAATCAACAGACTTTTTCATTAGTATAACTTGTCTTTCTTTCCAATAAGTAAAGTTTATGCTGTCGGTTCATCTAGGCTCATTGTTCAACTGCAATGATCCATCCCTCATCAATTTCTGACTCAGACTGTTGAACCGCTCTCTCGAATATTGTCTTGATGCTTTTCTCCAATCTGTACCAGCCTTCATCATTGCAGCAAACTCATCATAACTTATTCTCCCATCCTGCGGGTTCATCAAACAGAATTCAGCATGTGATTTCACAAGCAAGGAAAATCTATCTTTAAAATGATACGATCATCAGAATAAACATGCTAAAAAAGAAAAGGAATATCTGTCTAACCTTGTCTGTATCCACATCGTGCATAATGGCACTAATGACTTCTTCACTGTTTGTTTCAACCTCATCGGCCAAGGCATCCCTTAGTTCCTCAATCTCAATATAACCACTTTGGTTTCTATCGAAAAACTCAAAGGCCTTTTTAAGGTGCTCGTCATTGCCCATCTTTCTCAGGTGGACTGAAATGGCAACAAATTCTCCGTAGTCCAGATATCCATCTCTATCTACATCGCCCTGTGAAGAAAATATTAAAATAATAAAAAGTCTTTAGTCACTTCTCTTGTACAAGTGGCAAGCAGGTTCATTATCTTCCCAATGCACATATTTTTCTTAGAAAAGATAAAAGAAAATGCACCTATTACAATTGGCCTTTTTCTGTGGTAAATATAACAAGGACAAGCTATGGATGTTTAAGACTCTTGGATTTCGAACATAAAAGAAATTTTGTTGACCCACTGATTTTCAAAAAACTAGATTTTGGTAGAATACTGGCTCAGTTAAAGGGTGAACAGCATTGTTGTAACAAAGTGACATCTAATTACACATACATTAAGAAACTGCTAGCATCAATAAATTCACGGTGACACATTTTCAAGCCTTCCCAGCCAAAGATCAAAGATAAAACATGATGCAAATTTAGGGTAAAACTTACAGCTTCCATTAGTATTTGAAGATCTGCATCAGGAATATTATGGCCAAGTTTATGCAACCCAGCCCTTAGCTCATCGATGTTAATCTTGCCTCTATTGCCAGTATCCATCAATGCAAATCCCTCTTTTATGCCGGCTACTTCCTCCACCGAGAGATGCTCAGCTATAACCTGTCAGTATAAGATTTCCCAAAAAGAAAAAGGGGGAAAAGTTAATAAGCTGACTGGAAGCTTATTTTGGTTCTATTGCCCAACAAAAAAGCCAGAAGCATTACCCTGAGAGCTCTTTTCTTGAGCTTGTTCATTACAGAGAACTGCTTGAGCCTTGCCTTCACAGTTTCACCCAAGGAAACATTTGGAGCCTTCTTTGCATTTTGCAGCCAAGGATGATCTGAATTTAATAAGCAAGAAATAATTCAGTTTTAGGCATTCCCATATACAGCAACAGAGTTTTGCTATGAAACTTTTATTTGAGGCTACTAAAATGTCATGAACAGAAAACCTATATCATTAAAACTACAATTTACCTAGCACTTCCTGAGCTTTAAGTCGCCGCTTGGGATCAGGATTGAGCATCTTCCTCACAAGGTCTTTTGCATTATCAGAAACTTTAGGCCAAGGATCCCTCTTAAAATCTATAACAGAACGAATAATTGCTTGAGCAACTCCTTGTTCGGTTTCTGCATAGAAAGAAGGAAAGTTAGAGAGTAGAAAGATAGATAGAATAAAAATGAAAAATGGAAGTGAACAAAAAAACAATGTGGAAGGTGTATCAAGTTCCATTAGTATTTACTAAAATAAGAAGGTGGAAATAGGACTACTTGAGGAAGTCAAGGGAAAAATGTGTTAAATGGTTTAGTCAAGTCAGACACAAAAATCCAGGGATAGTAGTAATCCGGGGATAACGTCGCCCCAATGTAGTAAAATAATTCTTTTTCTTTCTTTTTCAATAAATCTCATTACTTGAACAGGGATTCTGATTAACTATAAATCAATACTAACCTGCCCAAAAAGGTGGGACACCACAAAGTAAGATGTAAAGGATCACACCAGCACTCCAAACATCCACTTCAGGTCCATAATTTCTTTTCAGCACCTCAGGAGCCATGTAGTATGGACTTCCAACTATCTCAGTAAAATTTTCACCTGCAAGGGGAAAGATTCAAACTCCAATAGATAAACATGGAATGAAGAAACAAATAGGTGAAAACATGAACCAGAGGAAAAAAAATTTTGACATCATGGTTGTAGAATGGCATTACCTTGTTTAAAGAAAACTGACAAACCAAAGTCAATCGCCTTCAAAGCCGCTGTCTCCTTCTTATTTGCGAACAGAAAGTTCTCAGGTTTGAGATCTCTATGCATCACCCCATGCTTGTGGCACATCTGTAACAACAAAAATACATTCATCTCCAAGCAAGCATTTTAAAACCAAAATTTGTGTAGCATTTTAGATTAATCACTTTAAAGCAACTAGTTTAGCATGTCATGTGCCCTCTGATCCAATTACAAAGCCATTCATATATCCACACACTAAAAGGTTCATATTATATCCAGCCCAACTTGTACAGAAATAAGATACGAAAAAATAATAATAATAATAAAGATCAACCAAAGCTATAAAAGTAAAAACATAATGTCAGATCTCATAAAAATCAGAACTCCAGTTAACCAAAATCTACCAATTGCCACCACCCAAACATTCAACCAATATCCCCCGTAAAAATTCAGCACTAAATACAAAACTTTAAGAAAATAAAATAAAATAATTTTACCTGAACAACTTCAACGATGGTCTTGGTGACAGCAGCAGCAGCTCTCTCAGTGTAATGACCTCTTGCAACAATCCTATCAAACAACTCACCCCCTTCACACAACTCCATGACCAAATGCACTGCATTGTCATCCTCATAAGTATCTTTCAAGCTAACAATATTTGGATGCTTTGGCAAATGCTTCATGATCTCAACTTCCCTTCTCACATCCTCAATATCCACAGCTGTCCTCAGCTTCTTCTTTGATATTGATTTGCATGCAAAATTGTCACCTGTTTCTTTGTCTGTGCAAAGATATGTGATCCCAAATTCACCACGGCCAAGCTCACGCCCAAGTTCATATCTTTGCTCAATTTCTCTCCCTGTTGGCTCCTTTAAAACAAAAAGTTTATGGCCCCCGTTGATTTGGTGATGCCCATAATCAATGGAAAATGGGTTTTGCTTCTTTTTTCCTTTCTTCTTCTTCTCCTCATGAGAATCTGTTGATGGAGTCACACAACAATTTCCCATGAGATCAAAACCAAAAATTTAATCTAGATCTTTCTTTTGCAGCTTTTTTTTTTTTTTTCTGAAATGGGTGTTTGAATTAAAACCTAAAACGGTCCAAAAAGGATCAAAATCTGATCTTTTTTTAGCAACAATGAAAAAAAAAAGGAGCTTGCAAATCTAAAGATTTCTTCTATCCAAATAGACAAATAAAAAAAAAATCTTCCCAGAAAAATAGAGAAACCCTGTTTCTGTATTTTCTGGGAATGCTTTAATTACGAAATCAAAGTGAGAGAGCAAACAAAGTTTTGGGAATAGATAGGATTTTTTTTATGGAAAATCAGGCAATGAAATGAAGGAGAATTTGAGAATTGAATTATATATATGGGAAGAGAATAATGAGGATGAGAAGAAGGATTTTCTTTTAATTTCTCATACAGCGTGTGCAAATTGCGAAGAAAATTAAAAGAAGAAGAAGAGGAGGAAAGTGCCAACCACCATGGGAATTGGAAGAGAGAGAAAGAGAGGGTCAAAGCTGATCTGTTTCTCAGAGACTTCCCTCCCTTAGCCGTGTTTTTATTTTATTTTTTCACTTTTTAGCTTTCGGAGAAAGAGAGGGTTTTTGTTGTTTTTCCTAAAATATCCAAAACAAAATTCGGATTTTGGAGACGTGAAAGCTGGAAAATACGTTCTCCATTGCAAAACACCCCAAAAAGTTTTAGCCGCTTTTAATTACATCCAAGTTTTTTAGCTCGAAAATATCATCAAATAAGATGACTTAATAACTCTCAGTTAAATTACCTTTTAACCCTTCCAACTCTTTTTTTTTTTTTTTATAATTTTTCTATACTCTTGTATTATTATACATTGTCAACATGAATAATTAAATGGGAAAGAAAATTGATGTTGGTGAAGAGTGCGAAATAAAAGACGAGATACGTCTTGATTTTGTTTGAAATTTTTGTATATTTTAAAATATATTTTCATAAAATCATATGACACAATAAGTATATCTAAAAATTATAACATATTATCGAATATACATATTTAATAACATAAAAAATCTATCGAATATACATATTTAATAAACAATATTGATTTTAGATATCAATACTCGATAATATTTTTATTATAATCTTTTAACTTCTTTCATTATATAAAATAATTTGTAATCTACACTTATAAAATGAAATTAATCACCATAGAATTTAAATGTAAAATGTAATTGTAATTCTTCATTTATTAAGTGATGTCTATAGTTTAAAGTTGGTTATCTAAGAAGGAATATTACTTAAATCATTTTTAAAAATGGAAAATAAGACGAATTATGCTAACAAATGCATTAAAGATATTATTTAAAGTTATTCTTTTAGAAAGTTATTTTTTAATGTATTGAAATTCATAATATTCAACAAAAATAATATTTTAATTAGCTTTAAAATACTTTAATTAACAAACTTTATGTGACTAGTATTTTGGCAGAGATTCACTTGAGGCCATCTAGAAGGAATAGCAAAAGTCAACCCTTACAACATTTTAATTCCAAAATTGCCCACAGAACCACAAAATAAAAAAATGGTCCAAAAAAAGTTGTACTATTAAATACTTGCTTGGAAGATTTAGCCAAAAAAAAAATCTAATACTTTTTTTAGGGGTCTTTTGATTACTAAAATGAGAAGCTAGTGAAAGACATGTTGCTAATCATTTGTTATTGTTTAAATTAATTTATTTTTCACTTGATCTTATATTGTCAAAATTTATAATATTTGTTATAAAATTACATAAATTTATTCAGCTCAAATCACAAATTTTTAAAAATAAATGGGTTATTTGAAAATGAGTAAATATACCAAAACAATAAAATTGAAAAAATTACAAATATAAAAGAAATTAAAATCACAATAAAATATTACATTTATATAAAAAATTATTAAATTCAATCAAACAAATAAAATAATCAACGAACTAATATATAATTAAACAAATCAATATAAAATTAAATCAAATTCACATATGCTAAATACTTGAATTTGAGATTTTAAGGTACAAAAATCTCTACCTTATTGCTAAAACAAAATCTCATCAATATAAGTTAAGATTGTTCTATGAAAGAATTAAACTTAAACAAAACTTTAAGACAAATTTTATGGTATTATAACAATACTTATAAGTTTTCTTTTTTGTAATTGAGTTTTTCTCAATTAATCAAAAATTAAAAATTAAAATCTTAAATTAATAAAAATAGGATATTGTAGTGCAAATAACAAAAATTATGACACATTAGATCTTAAAATGATTATTTTTGGATATTTTTGTGAGAATTATTTTTTGTCCTTTTAAACTCATTAAAAAAATAATTTTTAAGAGATTTGAAATATTATAAGAATCTTCTAGTAATATACCGGACCATTCAGTAAATGGCAGTACTAACCCTATCCCGTAATTATTGGTCAATGGGCCCACATTGAAAGCAGAAGCATGAAAATTGGGATGATGACCAGGTTATTTTCTGTCCACCGAAAAAATGGAAGAGAAAAAGCCGTAGCCTGTCTCATACGCAAGATTACGGGGCTAAAAGGGCATTTTAGACAATGCGAACAGATACATGAAAAGCACCGCTGTGCCACCTTTCATCCGTCCGGTCAAACTCGTCGATTTTGACTTTAGAACGGTAACGTTTGGAATTTGGATTTCGATTCCTCCTATCCGTTATGCCTTTTATTGTTCTCACAAAGAATGAAAACCAAAAAGAAAAAGAAAAATCCAAAGTACCAACTTGGATTTTGGAATTTCGAATATTTGTGTCCTTTTTTTTTTTTGATACATTACAGCAAAATCATAAAAGTATTTTTTTCTGTCTTATCTATAAATTTATTTTGTTTTTATGTTATTAGAATATTAGATTTTAATTCTTACTATCAAAGTTCAATTCTTAATAAATTTTTTTAAAAAATTTTATAAGAAAAAAATTTAAGATCGATAAGTTGCTCAATCTTCGTATTAAAATAAGATATATTATATCTCATAATTTAAAACAAATAATTATAGATTGTATATTTGATATGAGCCCAATAAATAATTATCGACAAAACTCCAATTCAAGATTTTTTTATCGAAAAAAATAAATTTTAACCAATTTAATCAATTATTTATTGATAAAAAAAATTAAACATGATTAAAAATCATATTATTTAATTGATCCAAATCATAAAAAAATTGATGGATAACGAGTTTTTGTCATAAATCCAATGCATCAATTCAAAATTTTTTGGAGCAATTGCATAAACAATTCAAATATTGAACCAATATTAATCAAGAGCTGAATCATCAAGTGGATAGATCCAAGCAAGCCAGTCCAAGTTTAATAACTATGGTAGTTGGGGCGATGCAATATTCATGAATGTTACAATAACAATTAAATCCTTTTCACTCATCATCAGCTTTGTCTCCCTTCCAATTTTACTAAGTGATACGGAAGATATACTCTTAAATAGATTAATTATTTTTTGTAAATTTAATACTAGTAAACTTTTTTATAGGAATAGATTTTTTATCTATTACATAGACTTTATTAATTCTATTGAAATAATCTATATCAATAATATATAAAAGGATTATATGAGTAGTGCTAGACCTTTTTTTTTTTTTTAATTTTAAAACAGTATTTGTCTTGGCAACTTTGGCCTTAAAATAGGAAATAATGAGTCATTAGTTGTCACTATATATTTTATCTATTGATTATGAAGATAATGTTAGAATTGAAAGCTTATTGCATTTGGGGAATGATTGGTCTAAAGTCATTATGTCAATTGCCAATGACTAATAATTTGACTTTATACATTGAGTACATCTTACCCTTTTGGCTAATTTGATGAAAAAATTTCCGAACAGCATCATTTTTTTATTTAAAATTGTTAGAATTTAAACTTTAATTATTAAAATTAAGACTAAAATATTTTAATAATAGATCACGAGATTGTTCGATAAAGCATTTTGCTAACTAAGAGAAACCATTTTTTACTTGTTCAAGCCTCAAAGCATTTTCCTGATTAAGAGTTAATTCTATCTATTTTTAGCAACAAACACTTCATTTTTTTTTTCTAGACCCCATTTTATAATTAGAATTCTAAAATATGGGTCGTTATTTCTACAGCAATGCAAGAAACATAATTAAAAGCGTTTTAAGAATGACAACTAAAGGTTGAAAAATGAAGTGAAAAGAACGATACATAATAAAAGCTGGAGGGGTTAGGGTTGGAAAATGCATGATGCCAAATGAAGTCAGGTGGAATTCTGGTTGCGTTACAGAGCAACAAGCATTAATTCAACAATAAAAGTAACAGAAGAAAAAAAAAATTAATCAAGTTTGGTCAAAGATAATGACAACTTTATAATGAAAAAAAATTAATAATGTTGTGGAACATGACAAATTACAAGATTAATTACTAGTTTGGAAGTACAATTTCTGAATCCTATCTCCAAAGTTTTCTCTGAAAACCGAAACCTTTTTCATTGGCAAAGGATTAAAGCAAGTGATGCTAATGTTCCCTTCTCCAGTCCATCAAGTACGATAAAGAATAATGGTCCACATTGTCACTGAAAATTTAATGTTTTCAATATTATTATTCTCTAGAAGATTTGAATGATTCCACTTCTAGATGCATTGGAGCTTCATAATTTTTCTTGAGATTGAATTTACAACTAGAATTTATTATCATCCAGATAGTGTTTAACATTTCTACGATCTATCTTGACTTTTTGTTTATTCTAGAGTGTCAAACAATTATAAAAGTAAATTAGAGGTAAAAAATCATTGAACGAAAATAGGTTTAAGTTTATTTACTTTAATATTAATATGAATTTTTAAGATCGATTTACTGATGCTTGCTTCATGAACCTCAAAAGATCTATTTCTTGATTTACTTTTTGACGGCTTATTAATTGGTCTTCCTCTATGAAAAAATTACTCCAGTTGTTTAACAATTTTCACATTCAAATTATTAGGATTTAAAGCAGACACCATTGATTAAGTAAGTAAGAAAGAGCAATTGGGATTAATTCATCTTGTTAATTTGCACAAGTACATATGCCTCTATTATCACTTATGCTATCAGAAATAAAATTCTAACTCATTTCATATTAAGAATTAAATAATGTTTTTGTAGATATACTAATGGGTTTGGGTTCGTTTAACCAAACGGATATTCCCAAAATAACAAACCCAAGGAAGGGAGAAATTAAACAAGTATAGCATGTGGCTGGTTTTGGTTATTATTTTAGTGTTTTAAGTAATTTCATCTTTGAGTGGGTCAATTTGGATTTATGATTTAGATAATTTTAGGTCTAACTCTATTTCCTTTTTTAGTGAAATGGGATTTGGTTAGATCAAAATTTTGGTAGCTTTGAGTTGAGTAAGAATTTCATTACTCAACTAGAGATAGTAATTGGATTTATATTAGGATTAGATTTGAGTTTGATTTGATTTAACTCTCCATTGCATTGGCTTATATATATATATATATATATATTAATTTGAAATATGAACTCTTCATATATTCTCAGCATATTATTTGGCCTTGTATAGAAAATATTTTAGAAATGAAAAAGCAAGGGGGAAAGATATATGCCCAAGCATATTACATTAGTCCTCCTCCTGTACCATTCCCCAAGCTCATGCTTCTAGAAATGATGTAAAAGCAATTCATGACTGTTTTCATAGAGAATAATAAAAAACATGGTGTGAAATTGAATTGTTGTTGAGATGTAGAGACAGCCTTAGCCGCTCTCTGCCCCTGTAAAGGGACTAAATTAGCTGCCATAGCTCTGAACTGTTTAAATGGGAAAACAAACAAAGAGAACAACAGAATGAACACAATGCCAAATTCAACCAACACCAATGGCTGTTTGACCTTAAATCAAGAGATCTTTTGTAGTAAAATTAGTTAAGAGTATTGACTTTTAATACCTACTTCTTTAAGAAATAAAAGAACACTGGGTGATTGTACAAATGCCAAATGAAAGACGGCAGAGGGAACTAATTAATTAGGTTATATAGTTGAGATTTAATGGACCAAGAAATTTTTCAAATGGAAAAATCATATAATAATTGCCAACATGGTAAGATTATATGGGCGTTTGATTTAGCTTAAGAAATAGAATTGCCAATGGTTGAAAAGAATCATATCCTAATCAAGGTTTCAAGCTAGTCAGCTCATTTTAGAAGAAAAAGAAAAAAAATTGGTAGCTTAATTTGTTGTTGGCTTCATTGGTGCATGCATATAAATTGCTACCAACTACAAAGTCAAGAATGGTATGTGGATTGTGGAGAATTAGACCTAACATTTTTCACATAGTACGTGCCAAAAGTCCTCCTATTTGGTACCTTGAATCACATCAATTCCATTTAAGTCGCCAAAAATGTTATTGATTGAAACTCTCACACGCTTCCAACTTGTAAGTAGGCAGACTTATTGTACTTACTTAAGTATTAAGTTCAACGATAACTGTATTTGTTCATATATTTAAGATTTAGGGTTTAAATTAGTTTTCATTTTTTTGTTTGTAAAAAGAAACGTAATTTTATTAAAATTGTTTAAATGAATTTATATTGTACAAATGACTAGAATCAGTAAATGATTTCGATTGGTATGGACCTCTATAATGTGTACATATGCTAAGATCAAAGGCTTTTGGAACTAAAAAAGCAGAAGAAAAGTCTTTGGGGTTTGGAGATGGAATTGTTCAGTTGTGATCTGAGACCACAATTGACCCAAAACTAATGCATCTAGAGAGTCTAGACAATCACGCGGTTAGCAAGGGTCGGCTTCTTCAATTCTTCCAAGCTTACCTCCGCTTTGATTTTATGTATTGAAATTTTGAAATGCACCACCCTTGCTAGGATTTGGTCCCAATACAAGTACTCTACCTTCCATTGTTTGTCTTTGGTGTTCTCCTTCTTGGTAACCTAATCTTTAATCTAGATTTCCATTGCTACCTCAGTTCTGGTTTGAGCCAATTCAAGCAGAAAAATCTTGCAACAAACGACTTCTATTTCCCATGACTGATCGGCCATTATAATTTCTTGTGCAAAATGTTTCTATCTTGGTAAAATATTTTCCTATGACTTCTAGTTCCCAAGCTGATGCTGAGAAATATGCTCTTAAAATTGGAGGGTATTAGATTTGGACAACACTTGGGATACTCCTTACCATCTATCTTACCCAAAAAAGTACAGCTGAATGTGGGAATGAAAGTTTGAAGACAATTTTGTGATCAGAATTGCATAATGTCTTGATCATTCAATACTGGTTATAGTTCATGTGGATCATGCATATTTGACTATAACGAAAATTTCAATTTAGATTCTGAACCAATTGATCATCTTTAACTTTATAAATATAAATCCTAAGTTTATTGGGTTACTTTTTTCCAAACTCGGAGGCCCGATTTCCTCCAGGTCATCATCGATGGCCAATTTTTTTCGGATCCAATGTTAAGCCCAAACCAACCTTCAGCCCAAAAACAAATCTTTGGCCTCTTCTTTCTTTCTGTCTTATATATATAAATATATATATATGTATATATTTATAATCTCCATGTATGCTGAATCAGGAATGTCAGATGAGGCAGCAAAAGTAAGAACAGATATGAATGATTTGAAGTTAACTAAACTAGCAGGTTGTAGCTGGATTAATATTGATAATAAGATCCCTTAATTTGTGGCAAGTGGGAAGGACCTGTGGATTATATAGTTAAGGAATCTTTATTCTGTAAATGTTGTATTTCTATATATCTTAAGTGCAACAGACAATGAAAGATCATATATTATTAGTATATTACAATCGTTTGTGTGAGATTGTATTTCATCTCCAAATGTTTGCATAATGTCATTTGATTCGAGTTGGTTCTTCAAAAATCTGAAAAATATTCTATGATATCTTCATCAATCAAGCAATTTGCAGGATTCTTTAATGCAAGTCATTGTATTGGATACAGTTCATTGATTTCATGATCACAATGATTGTGACTTGGTTCAAGCTTGAGTGATCATAGAATTTTTTTTGTTAAAATTGTTAAATCATTGTAATGTTTCTTGTGGGGAATTTAACAGGAGAAAGCTGTATTACTTGAACCACCAAAATACTTCTGTTTTCTAACTGAAAATCTAGTTCTTTGTCCTGTAACTCGAGATATGCTTCAGGTTTGTCAGTTCCATGGTCCGTTTCATTGCAGGTTAAATCGAAAACCTAAATAGAATTTTAGGCCATTATGGGGGGCCACTAGTTAATCTGATAGCCTTTCTCTTTAGCCTGCCCCTCTTTTTAGTTTTAGCAATTTTACTATTCCTATTTATTTTGTATTTATGTATAAAAAATACAAAAATTATCATATTATTATTTATGTCATTATAATAAATATAATTTTTTATTTTTATTAAATTTATGTATTAAATTTTTATTAAAATTTTAAATTGATCATTTTTATGTTTAAAATTATCAACTCTACCATTATCACATTATAAAAAATCAAATAGGAAAGATTCTCTATGAGTGAAAGTGAACGAAAACCAAAGTTCCTAAATCATTGAAAATTGCAAAATTTTGAGACAATGTTAACGCAAATTACGGTTCTTTGTAGGACCAGAAAGTATCAATTGCTCTCCTTCCACTAGGCACTAGCATTATCGTGTGAACTTTGGTACGATTTTTTTTTTTTTTTTTGGTTTTTACAATAAAAGAATAAGCTAGAAAAAGTGTCTGCATATTTGGAAAGGTTTGGTGGCCATTTATATTTACCATTTTCACTATGGAATGTGGATTGTAGATTGCTTTCGGTGAACAATTAGTACTAATTAATGAAAGCTTCATATACACATATATATATATATATAATCACACTTCCAAAGATTGAACAAATCTCTTTAAAGGAATATGTGTTTTCTTAGAATTTAGAATAAATAAATGAAAACACCATCTTCAAATAGCAGTTTTTTAAGACACATAAAACACATGTATCAATGTCCTTTTGCATCTTGTTTGGCCCCCTCAAAAGATTTCCCCAAGTCATTATTTTTCCTTTACTTTCCCCACTCTCAAAATTCATTGCACTTGGACTTGTCTTTTTTTTTTTTTTTAAATTTTCCTGTTGATTTTTGTTCTCATATTTTCCACAACCCTTTGCATCAATCTACAGTTTCAGCTACAACAATTGATAGCCAGCATTTCTATTAATTAGTTAATTAAATGAATCAAACCCAAGAAAAAACATTTAAAAAAAATGAAGAAGACAAAATAAGTGTATGTTTGTTTTTCAACAGGAAGATAATTTAGTGTAACATGGTATGGAATTTAGCACTGATTGCAAGACTTGTGCTAAGTTGCTGCTTTGGAATCATTTGATTCCTCAGGGCAGTGGTTAGCAAAAGAGATAATCAGGAATAAGCATAACATTCTTTCACTGTTGAGGTCTCATTTGTTAATGCAAATCCATACAAATTTGGGAGTCAAAGATGCTTGGATTATATAGAATTATATTGGGTCCTTGTTATCATCTCTCTCCATTATTTAAATATAATATATTTGGCACAAAGATATTGCCTCAACGCAATAACATTCCAATTAGCACCAAATGCAACGTATTTAATAATAAGCTTAAACAACTATACAATGGCAGCTAACCAAAAGCACCATATCCCTGCCCAGAACCAGAAAAAGAAGCAATATATAATTTTCATTACTGTACAAGACAAGGGAGGTTGGTCCACCACTATTACCAACAAATCCTCAAAAATCCCAACACACTTCAAACACTAAAGATTTGGTGCAACTCTTGACTGCCCTTGGATGTAGGGTACCCTACAGTTGAAAAGATGAAGGTACTCTTGAAGGGGGAGAATTATTGTGTCCACAGAATAAAGGAACATTGATTGTAGTATGTGATAATTAAGGTCTCAAAAGATGGATCGTTTGACAGGAGCTCTCCCAACGGCTCTCATCAAATTGGCTATTTCAAGAACCCTGGCAGCTTTTGTTCCTCTCTTGGCCTCAGCTGATGCCCTTCTCTCTTCTGCTTTTCTGTGTGCTTTGGCCACATCGTTTTGCATCTTTTCTAAGGCTCTTGCTCTTTTCTCCTCTAGCTTCCTCTGCATAAAAGTCAAAGGACTTTTGTGAAGATATGAGGACTTCAAAATATCGAATCTAAAGGACGAATAAGGAATTAATGCAAGGAGGAAGAACTAAACAAGGAAAAAAGGATTACCCATCGTCATCATATTCCACTAATATATAATTACAGAAAATAATGCACAGTAACCTGATAAAGATTTGGCTCAAGATCATGAACAGATGATAATTACATGAAGATTAGCCGACAACATAATTAAATCCAATAATCAACTTAGTCAATTGAATCATCAATTATTAATCAACGAATTTAGAGGACAAAATCAAATCATTAACCATGTAATTAAGTAATACTCTCTATGTTTGGCACAATCATATGAAAAAATTAACATCCAATTAATTGAACATTCAAAGCATGACATAAAAAGAGCATAAGAAGAAGTATCCTTAACTTCAAATTAGTCTTGATAATTACTACTCTTTGGATGAGAAATTATTCACACCATCAACTTGCACAAGAAATGGGAATTCTCCTGTATCCAACATACCTCAACTTTCTTCATCCAAGAAGTGGCCTTTTGAACTTGCTCACTCTCCCACCCATTAATTATGGCATCTTCTCTCTTAAACCTATTGTTGATCTTTGCAACCTTTGCGTTTTGCCATGCTGATATTTTGGATTCCACCTCTTCTTTCTTCACTCTCAGCACAGAGACCTCCCCATGGCTGCTACCACTCGCCGCCACAGGCCCTCCTGAACCGACCCTTCTTTGATCTGAACCCTGATCAAACGGATTACTATCTGGAACTATAGCCAGAGGATTAGTTTCCTCAGGCAGTTCCTCCTCTCCAATCCTGTTCAACTGATTATGATTGTTTAAAGTATTTATGGAATCAGAATCATTGTTTTCAATGGAAGAGCCGGCTAGAACAAGAGCGTTGAACTCTCTACTCATGGTAGTAAAGTTTTCAGTACTGGAAGCAACTTCACCAGACATGGACAAAGAGGATGATCGATGGCTACCAGTCTCCCAACGGCCACGATTCACAGCTGGAGGGTGAGGTGGAGTCAGAGCATGGATGTCCCTGATATGTTCATCATCAACATCATGGTCGTGATTGTCCCGGTCATGGTCGTTTTCGACATTGCTAATAACACTTTGAAGGGTTAACATAATAGGGATTGAGGGATCGTTTGAGCAGAAGAAGGATATGATGAAAGTGAAGGAGAATTGCTGATGAGATGAGGGGAAGAAGGAGAAGGCTTGGGAGGTTTGAACATAGTCTTTATTATAGTTATTAAGCTTTAAGCTTTGACTGGTTTGAAGAAATATGAACCACTAACATATGTGAAAGAGAATTCAAGAAGCTGCAGCTGGCTTTGAAGTGAAATACTGAAATCCCATAACGTAAAGTGTAGTAAAAATAAGCCTAAAGATAGGGATCGTACTGCAAGTGAGACGAGATTGAAAAGTGGCTTTGGCTTTTCTTTATTTTATTTAATGCTTTAAACCACTTATTATTATTTAGTTCAAAAATAAAATTTAAGAAACACATTAAGATAAAATATTTTTCTCTCGTTTCATTAACTCAATCAATTTATCAGATTTTAAATTCGTAAGATTGTTAAAATAAAATCTCAAATTTTAATCGTTAAAATATTTTATTAAAAATTTTAAACTCTTAGTTTTAATGTTTTCCTTTTATTTCTAATTTCATAAAGGCTTATAGCTAAGTTGAAACTTGATAAAAACCATAAATCATTTCTAGTATAGCTAGCTAGAAAAAGTTGCAAGTAATATCAAATTAACTATCATCAAAATTTTTAAACATAATTAACTTATGAGAGAAGGAAAAAACAAAAAAAGGCAGACCTTATTGCTTTTCCTGCTATTGGCTTATCTTATGTGTTTCTGCCTCCTACCTTCTTTTTTAAAATTATTTCATAAATGGTTGGTTTTTTAATTTTCTCTTGATGATAACTACGGGCATTCTTCAGAATCAGCATCAAATGAAGATATTAAAGCCACCAATCAGCCGCTATCCTTGAGTTGTGCTCTCTTTCTCCAGAGAATCCTGCATTTATTTGCTTCTTTGTCCCTTAACTATGTTGATTTATTTAAACCCAACTTTAAAGATAAATTTCTCTTAATCACACACTTGATAGATATAATTAAGAGTACTAAATTTTTAGGTGAAATAGAATAATTTTGACAAAAGAAAAAAGATGAATTGAATGTAAGTTAAAAAAAATAATTCAGGGAAAAAAATCAAAATAAATTAATGATATGAACCTAAGTTTTAAGAAACATGAGATTTATATTAACTGTCGGTATATAATTTAATTTTTTTACTCTAATATTATGTAATATTCTGTTAAATAAATATTCATGGCATCTAAGCCAAGCCAAAAATTAATATTTTTTAGAATCATTACAGTATTTTACCATAGAAGGTTTAAATAATATTAAACTAAAAATTTTCTGGACATTTTGATTTTGTTAATTTGAATGTTTCACCTTGTGTAGTGGTAATAATTGTAAAACTAAAAGAAAATATCGAGGATTGGATGAAATAGAAAGAAAATATCTCTTTTGGCCAAATCATAAATAAGTAAAATCATGAGGGTGCAATTGCAAATATAGTCTTTTAATCTGTTATCCAGTGTCGGCTAAATGATTTGATGCGGAGCCCACCAACATTTAGGTAAAGGCGTGTGGACCAGTCATCAGCGAAAAGTACACACGCGTCACAGTGTAATAATCAAATCACTGTTATGACTCCACGTGCCACTCATCCACAGGCTTAGGGCCTAATCAAAGAAGCTACGTATGTTCTCGCCATGCAAGCACTGACGTAATTCTACCAGATAGACACCACGTGTACGGCCACCAAGATTTTTAACGTCTTATGTTTTCCAGATGCACACGTCTCACGTGATAAACTAAGCTTTTCTTAGCCCTTACTCATCTCACGATTATCATTTGCATTAATCTAACTTAATATTGCCATTGTCATTGCTGTTAAAAATAAATTTAATAATTTATGTATTTGTATTATATTTATTTTATATTAAATATATAAAATATAGATTTTATGTTATAATTTATATTAATATATTAAATATAAAATATATTTTTATTTTTAACTAATTTATATATAAATTTTATAAAAATTTTATTTTTATTCTTTTAATATCGTATTATCAAATTATATTTAAAGTTATCAACTTTAATTAAAAATAAAATTTAATTGGAATGAATTTGTTATGATGGGAATACTTTTATCATAAATAAGTTTTCCCTACTGTATTTTGTTTTCAAAGTTACCAATTACTATCAAACATAATTCTAATCACACTGAAAAATTGGATCCTAGTATAAATTAGGGTTTTCTTTTTTTTTTTTTTTTGGAACTGATTGGTCAAATTTCTGGGATGAGGGGAAAAAAGGGGTTAATTCTTTATTCATGTTTAGGAGCTATCTTTTTATGATGTAATGGAAGTGCAATGTGACAAGTCTCCACTATTATGAGAGACAGAAGTTTTGGGTACAGGTGTTTGTGATTTCATTGGAATTTTGTTTTTTGAGGGTGACATGTTGATAAGAGAGTTTTTAGTTTTTTTTTTTTTTTTTTTTATGTTGGTAAGAATAATAGTATGATCATTATACCTTGAGTTGTTCTACTTATACCAATGATACATAATAAAAGTAAAATTAATTTTTACAAAAGAGTTGAAAATTTGCTCAATCTCTCACATCCAATGCAATATATGATATATCAATATGGATAACGTTATTAATTTAGTCAATCTCTTATTAAGATATTAATTTTCTCTTTTTATATCCCTAAATTAGTCGACCAATAAAATTTTAAATTATATAAATTTATAAATAAATGCTGTTATACAAGCATTATTTTTTGAATAAAAATATCATAATTTAAAAAAAATATGTATATTATATGTGTTACAAATTGAATGTCAAATATTATTTTATTTTATATATTATCTTAAAAATAATTACATTAATCAATTGAATTAATTATTGAATTCACAAATAATTATTATAATGTGAACATGTATGATTGAAATAAAAGAGCATATATAGAAGCACAGCTTAATACAAAAGAAGCCAGGTAAGATTCGGGATCTAATTTTAGGTCTATAAAATCTTATCTGATTATATGTTTAACCTTGTCTTTTTTTTTTTCTTTTAAATTTTTAATTCTCTAATTGAAGTATTATATAAAGACATGCTTTTCTCCTATTTGTTACCTTTTATATCCAGAAAATTAAACCCTAGTCGGCATGCAGATCAAATATATAAACTTTTCAAAGCAATGATAGCTTCCATTTTCAATTTCTAAGAAAGGAACTTTTATCACTTGCTTAAAGGCTATTGGCGATTAAAACATGATCATGTCACTGCAATAAAAATATAATAATAATTGTATCATGTTCATTGTAATTTTTACTATTGTTTAAAGGTATAATTAATCGAATTGAGTGAATACAGTGAAAAATTTGAGTTTGATTTTAACTTAAAATTCATTGTTTTAAATTCAATTCAACTTTAATTAAATTTTAATTTTTAAGTTTGAACTTGAGTTGAATTAAAAATTAAACTATTCGAACTTACTAAATAAATTTATTTAATAAAAATAAACTCAATTTTTATATTTGACTTCAAATTTAATTATGTATTTAAATTTAAATTTGAATTGATATATATATAAATAAAATAATAAAAATATATTAAAAATTTAATTTTTGATTAAATTCATAAATTATTTGAATCAAATATTAAAATATTTAAATTTAACTTAATCAATAAATTAAATTACTTGAATTTAATTTAATAATAATTAAATCAAATCAAATAATTTATAAATATTAATATATGATTTACAACAACTGCTAAGCCCAGATTTTGCCTTAAGCATGGAAGTCATTTTCATATTGATTAATCAAATTTTCAATATTCTGAGGCAACCTTTTTTAAATAAACAATGTAGGCTAGCTAGCAAGTTTCAAGCTAGTAAAATCCAAATTGGCTCAAATCTCAATCCAAAACACAATGGCGATTTTCTAAAGCCTATCTACCTATATACATTCACTTAGTGCAAAAACAAGATAGCTAGCTTGTCAATTGTCATGTTTTAGCGCAAACTTTAACTGAGCTAGCTAGAAAGTTAATCTACATATGGGACACTTCAATTTGACATTCTCCGTCACCGTAAAAAAAAAAAAAAGTAGATAAATAAAGAAAAATTTACCTTGTCACCAAAAAATTTTCACCTCTATATAATTAATTATTTTTTAAAGAGAATTAAATATTCAATCTTTGAATATAAGATACATATACCTATTATCAAATTGAATGTCTGGATCATTAAGGGTGTGCACAATTTAATTAAAATTGAATTAATTCTATAATATTTCGATTCATGATTGAAAACATTTTAAGTCAATTGTTGAAATAATGAAGTTTTTGGGATATTCTGATTCGGTTTATTGTTTGGTTTCGTATGTAAAAAATAAAAAAATAAATTACATTAAATTTAATCGAAATATATTTTCACTTTTTGTTTAAAGTTTTAGGTTTTATGTGGAGCTTTTGAGTTTTTTAGAATTATTTTTTCTTATGTTTAGTATTTGAATATTTGTAAGACTATTTATACTTATTTGAATTACTAACTTTATTTCAAGATGCAAACAAACACTTGACCTTTTATTATATGAAATTAAGATTATAAATTTTTATTTTATTGTAATTATAGTTATTAAATCTTAGAAATAAATAAATAATGTCCAATTGATAGAACTTTAAAATAGTATTTTTAAAAATATTTACATTTAATTCATCCAAATAAATTTAATTAAATATTTTTTACAAATAAATTATCCAATTAAAAAAATTAAATGTTTTATACCATCAAATTTCTAATTACAATAAAATAAAAATTCATAATTTTAATTTCATACAACAAAAATTGGGGGCATATATGCATTTTAAAGTAAAGTTTGAGGGCTTATTTAAAGTATTATACTTTTTAGTTATACGATATTGGGCTCAAAATTTTCTCATTGCCATATATATAGGCTTCACGTTGGGTTAGTAGGTTGGATAAAACTGGCTCAAGCCTTGTCCTCAATGGTTCAGCTAATGGCTATGAGCTAATATGCACAAAGTACCCAATCTTTTGTACCGAAGAATATTCAACATGAAGTCTATGAGAATGAGAAAATTTTTAGCCCAATATTAATCATTTAAATTTGCTTTAGCCCATGTCGGTCCAACCCAATTTAAAACCCCATTGAAATTCCCATGTTTTAGCAAGACCAACAATTCTCTTTCCAGGCTGCCTACCCTACCCCATTTTTCCTTTAACAAAAGGGAAAAGAAAGAAAGCAACAATTTTAATTTAGAAGTATTACTTTTCCCTTATATATATATTGATTAAATATGATAATTTAAAATATAATATAATGATATGTTATAAATATAATATAAAAATAAAATATGAATATAACATAATTTAAAATTTTAATAATAATTATATATAAATTTAATAAAAATAAAATAAAATAATTTATATTTTTATATTAATATAAATTATAATACGTAATTTTTATATAAAATATAATATAAATATATAAATTTTAATATTTTATATTATATAAATATTATATTTATATAAACATTCATATTTTAGATTAAAAAAATAATTTAAAATTTTAAAAATTATAAATTTATTAAATATTACATTTTAAATACAATTATATGAATTAACGTTGATTAAGTCACGAAAAAGATAAAGTGCGCTAATCTCCCAGAAAGTGAAGCAATCGATGCATAAAAAGCCGGCCCTGCTTTGACTTCTCCACCAATTATATACATCATCCATTATTCTTAGCTAGGACCATAGGCCGGCCAGCGAGGAATCACTCCAATGCAACTCATAGACTCTTATACAGATGATGATTGATTACTCGCATCAAGATAATATTAAATATAAATAATTTATAATTTAAGTATAAAATTAAAATATTTTAGTAGGTATTTAAAATTAAACATTTTTTTATACGATATTGAATTGATTAATGCAAATTAAAAAAATTCCCTTATCGTAAATTTTTTTAATTTTGATCTCTTATGTATTAAAAGATAAAGAAAATGATTTTTTTAAAATAGTAAAAATATTTATTATTTCATTTTATGATAATTAATATAAACTGAAGTTTATTTACCAATTGAGATTTTAATTATTTTACATTGAGTCAAAAAAAAATACATAAAAGTTCATTTAAATAATAAAATAGTGTGAAAATTTTTTACCTTAAATTTGTTTAAAAATACATGTTTAAATCAATAAACATCCCCACCATTTTTTAATAGCATAAGAGGATACTTAATTTCTCAGCAAATTTGCTAAATTCGTGATTTAGTGTATGTTGAGACAGATTTCTTGACAAATTCATGCATATATCTAGTCAAACTAATTCACTGTTCCTTGATTTGAAAACAAATAAAAAAAGGAACCCCAAATGTCTTTATCAAATTAATTTTAAATATATAGCTTTCTGTTTTTTATTGGACAATACTAAATTGTTTGAAAAAGTAACCTTCAAAGTAAGCCATGATAAAAAATAATAGATCTAATAATTTATGAATTTTTGTCACATAAAATATTAAAAAATTAAATATTTATATTATATTTAATATAAAAATTATATTTTGTAATTTATATTAACACAAAAAAATATAAAAAAAATATATTTTTATTTTATTAAATTTATTTATAATTTTTATTTAAAATTTAAATTATATTATTTTTTTATTCGTATTATTTTTATATTATATAATTTTATTAAATTTAAAAATATTATATTTTGAGTAACAATTCATTTGTTGCTGTTTATATTCAAACTAACTTTTCTTTGAACAATTCTGTCTGTTTTTTTGTCTTTGTCGGAAGAGATGGGAGGTAATTTCTAATTAATAAAGAAATTGACAATTCAAGGTACCCATGAGTCAAGTCAAGCTAAATTTAACACATTTAAAATTTTGTTGGGAATCATACTTATTTAAACTCATTTGGATATGTTTAATTTAAATTTACTAATAAAATTTTAAATATATTTTTTATTAATATTTTAAAATTAATTTTAAATACAAATTTAATAATAAAAGACAAGAATAATTCGCAAAGTTGAAAACCACTTAATTTTTACAATTTTCCCACTTGCTTTGAAGTCACTATTTCCACAACTTGGTGTGACTTTAATTAGTGGCAAGTTGGCCAATAAGATACCTATCATAGATAATAATTTTAAATATTTTTTTTTCAAAATCTTAATTGATTTTGGATCAATCAAATCTAATCAAATTTGATTGATATTTGAAAAATTTTATCCGAAATTTGATTTAATCCAACTTGTCGGATTTAGCTCAATTGTTGCAAACAAGGGATTTGATTGGTAAACAATTCAAAGAAATAATCGTAGTGATAACCTAACACTGCAAATGATATATGTCTAAAGATATTGTGTCTTGCACTTTACCCCGCATGCTTCTCAATTCATTGGCTTGAATATTTATTGTCAAAAGATATTTATTTGGAAGCAAAAAGATGCTAATTAAGAAAATGGGTAAGATTTTGGAACCTTTTTAAAAGTTATGCTTACAATACGATGAGCAATTATGTCCACAACATTGTAATTGGACTATTTAAATTTAGAACTTTAAGATTTTAACTTTAGAAAAGATTATTCTTTTACATTCTTGATTTTTTTTAATTTGATAAAGAAAATTTAAATGTAAACTCTTTTGAATAAGGGTTTTTTTTATATTAAATAAAATTCTTATCGTGTTATAATTATATTTTATGATTAAATTTTTTAAAAAATTCAGTGAATATCAAATTTTAAATCAAAATAAATGTATTAATTATTGTGTCAAAATGAATTTCTTAAGTGAGAATAATAATGATTCTGTTCGGATCGAATTTAATTTAATTTTTTTAAATATTGCATAATATAATAAAAATTAAAAATTCAATCTAAATCTACATTAAATTTTCATTCGATGTGAACCGAATTTTATCAGTTTAATTTGATTCGGTTTATCGAATTATATATTTTTTAATTTTTATATATTATTTTAACATAAAATTTTAATATATTTATATAAATTTTGATTTAAAATTATTATTTTATTTTATAAAAATTTAAAAAATATATAAAAATTAAAAAATATATAATTCGATTTAATTTTTTTATTTTTTACTTTGCAATCTAAAATTTAATTCAAATATAATATATATTTAATATTCAAACTTAATTGAATAAAAAATAAAAATTAAATCAAGTATTATAATTTTAAATTTTTTTATTTTTTTCTTTCTCCTACTTCCGTTCTAGACTTTATTGTAATAGCATTATGATGATAATAATGACTTTGCTCTCAAGATGTTTGCTTAAGCTTCGAACATAAGAATCTATATGATTATTCCATTCAAATTAAAAATAAATGTGGTAGCCACATCCATCAGAAATTGTTTTTTTTTTCTTTAAATTTTTTATGAACTTTTTGAATTTTAGACTGAGAAATTAGAGAAAAATCAAATAGAATCCAAGATAAAAAAAAAAAAAGAAAAAGTTTTTTAACTTTTAAAATATCTCAACTCTTTTTGAGTTATTTAATAATATCAATAACACTTGTAGGATGACAGAAATTAATTATCGAATGATAAAAAAATTATTTATTTGTGATTAAATTAAAAAATTTACTAATTTAGTGATTATTTTAAAAATAGAATCATAAAATTAATAATTAATAATATATTTACCTAACAAAATTAAAAAAGGACCAACTTCTTTGTCTTTGGAGAGATAGTAAAGTACTACATATATTTATTTTTTTCCCCCTAAATTTTCCTCGGATTTGAAGAAAAGAATTCATTAAAAAAAATAAGACATAAAAGTCCAAAATTATAAAAACAAAAAAAATAGTACAATTAAAAAAAATTATATTTTAGAAAAAGGGAAGCTTCACAAGCACATCACAAGAAAATTAGAGCCAGCCAGCCCCCACCTGGGTCTTCTGGTTTTCGTGAATTGAATGAGACCAAAAGGATGCCACTGCTCTCTCTCTTCACAAATATAAAGGAAAGAATGGGTGTGAAGATTTCTTGCAACTTCCGCAACCCACCTTCTCCTTCCTCTCTTTTTCTCAATCCTCAGTCTGTTTTGATTTGACACCCTGACTCCAAGTTCTTAAGGCTTCAAAAAACCTCCCAAACCTAAAGCACAACCTTTTTTTCTTTTGATTCTTTTATGATAATTGACCCTTTTGCAAATATCATCTGCCTAACCAATATAAAGACTTCGAATTTTTTTTTCTCTGATCAAAGGTATGAGCTTGGTGTTTAACCAATCTGTTTCTTTCTTATTTATTCTCTGTTCTTGCATCAAAACGTGGATTTTTTAAGGTGGTTTTTGGTTAAAGTTTATTCTTTTTGTTTGTTTTCCTTTTCTGTGGTTTTTGAGACATTAGTTGTTTGAAATTTGACATAAAAACCAACTGAAACTTGATTTTTAGCTTGTTTCTCTTTTTTCTTGTTGCTTTTTCCTGTCTGTTTATACTTTTTTTTTTTTTGGTTTTGCATTGTAATGTTAGATTGGAATCTGGGTTTTGATTTTTTAGTCTAATTTTGTTGTTATATCTCTCAAAATTTGATTCTTTTTTCCTTTTTTACATTCATTACATATTGATTCAATGTAATCCATTACATCTTCTTTTCAATGCATTTGGTTTGCATTGCTTGATAGATCCAAGACATATGAGTTTTTTGTTTGATCTCTCATCTCGTCATGTGTATTGATCAGGGGGAATCTTGTATTGGAGGCCTTGGTTCTCCATGGTGAGCCATTAATCATCAATATTTTGTTTTTAATTTTCATTTGGATGAAAATTGGTTTTCTTTTTTTTAATCTATTAAAAAAAAAAAGAAAGAAGAAAAAGATAGAGGGGGATTTTTATTAGTAATCTAATTGAGTTTTAGTTTGGCAATATGGAATATAAACAGTAGGGTTATTGTGATTTGATTTGTTTTTGGTTTATGATCATCAGGGAGAAACCCCAGCATTCTGTGTTGACAGTCCACAAAATGGATTTTCAAACGGATTTGGTTTAAAATCCAAAGGCTTTGAGACCTCTACCGACGTTGGTGACAAAACGGTATGATAATTTAAGGCCTAATTATGTGTTTTCATCATAAAGTGCTTCTTTTTGTCACTGTTTGCTATCTTTTAGTTAATATGTTCAATCATCTTTTTGATTGAGTACTTGTGTGGATTTTTCTTGCAGTTTGTGATTGGTGGGGCAAACAATGATTCCGCATCATCTATTGGGGTTCAAATTTTCGACAAATCTACAGGAAACTGGTTTGTGGCTAGAATGATCTACACAGTTTCTTCTTTCAGGTTTTAGTTTAGAGTTATAACTTATAAGGTAATTGTTTCTGGTAATATTTTCAGGGTGATTCCTACAGTGCTGGGAACAAAACCAAAGCCATGTAAAGGCAATTCAGCTGTTCTTTTGAATGAAGATCGGATAATGATTATTATTAGGGGTTCCGCCCCAGATGACTGCATTTGGTTTCTTGAGGTTTGTATTTTGAAAACTTGAGATCTTTTGAGGGTTATTGAGGATAAACTTCACGTACTCTGCTGTCACAATTGCTCATTTCTTTGTGACATTTGCGTATTCTAAAACTTAGCGCTTCTGAGTTGCATAAAAAACTGTGAATGTTTTGATGCGTAAAAGTGTTTGATCTGTTAAAATATTGGTAGGTGGACACCAAGTATGTTAAGGATAAGAAAAAAGTTTTGGGGACTGAAGTTGTTGCCTGGAGTAAGGGTGTGAGGGGTGATGCTGAAAAGCCTGTGGTTATCAGCGGTCCTTCTGGAGTTGGTAAGGGGACATTAATAAACATGCTCATGAAGGAATTCCCATCCATGTTTGGATTCTCTGTCAGCCACACAACCCGTGCACCAAGGGGCATGGAGAAGAATGGAGTTCATTACCATTTTACTGAGCGTAGTGTAATGGACAAAGATATAAAAGATGGGAAATTCCTTGAGTTTGCTTCTGTTCATGGGAATCTCTATGGAACCAGTATTGAAGCAGTTGAGGCAGTAGCAGACTCTGGAAAGGTAAAAGGTCCTAATTTTTACATTTCTAGTGATAATGGTTAAATGTCCTAATGATGCTCTGAAAGTTGCACATGGGATACTCATTATCTTGGAGGAGGGCACATGGGAAAACCACTTTTGGAAAGCCAGTGGTTTAAATCACTAGATAATCTGTTCACTACGTTGGCTTATTTTCTTAAGGGGAAGGGAATAATGAATAGCATACCAGATCGCATGAAATTATGGTCACATTAGCTCCTCCTTTTTACAATTAATGAATTACTAATCATCTCCTGCATATTGCTGTGGGGGGAGTTGCAAATAATATATTATGTCTTGCATATAACTAAGAAAACTTGAGGACCTTTAAAAATAATGTCATGTATATTGGAATGGATGGTTCAGTAACGATTGTTGGATTTTAGGTTTTTTACTTTAGAAAGCATATCGATGGTCCTTGTCAATGTAGCATTCTTTACATCAAAATCATCTCTCTGCAAATTGAGTTGTTCTTTTTTTTTTTTTTTTGTTCTTGATTTCAATGTAGAGGTGCATTCTTGACATTGATGTTCAAGGAGCAAGGTCTGTGAGGGCCAGCTCTCTTGATGCTGTTTTCATCTTTGTCTGTCCACCTTCAATGAGGAAGCTTGAAGAGCGACTCCGTGCAAGGTGAATCTGCACTGTCCATTTGATAGTTGTCATTATACTATTTTCCAGGTCCTGTTATAATTAGAATGTTGTCAATAGGGGGACTGAGACAGAGGAGCAAATCAAAAAGCGTCTACGAAATGCCAAGGCAGAAATTGAGCAAGGGAAATCCTCAGGCATCTTTGACCATATATTAGTTAATGATAATCTTGATGATTGTTACGAGAATCTTAAGGTGACTTTTCTTTCCCTTGAACCATATCACATGCATCTTAAGTTCTTTTGAAATCACTTTCCTGAGGATTAGTACTTTTTCATGTCCTGATCTCATGAGTTTGATATGTTATAGGAACTCCTGGGTCTAGATGGAAGTACACCAACTAATCATAAACCATGTAAGAAGTTTATCTTGTGATTACTACTTCCTCTATTTCTTTTTAATGCAAATGGAAAGAAATTTATTTAAAATGTCATCCAGCATCCAAAGGGATTGATCTGCCTTTGAACCATTTGGTGTCAAAAATCGATAATAAGATCCTCATTAAACGTGAGACTCCAGAATTGGGAAATGCATCAAAGAACTTGTAAGTTTATCTTTCTTTTTCCCCTTTTTTTTACCTTTCTTTCATTCAATTTACAAACGCAAGGTTATGATTTAGTTAATTGGGTTCTTGACTAAGCATTGGTGGTTTATTCAGGATTGTACTGGATGTGTCCTCGCTTAGAGGTGGGGCTCCTGGTCGGACAAGAGGACTAAATATCTATGCCATTGATTCATTTTCAGATGGCTTGAATGGGATTCATAAACTGAGCCAACGACTGCAACACTATTGATACGGACATGGTTTTAAGCTTTTCTATATATCTTAAGGGAATTATGGTAAAGCTCTAGTTGTCTTGTAAGATCATTGCATGAGTTGGGTTTTCTTTTTCACTCAATTCTTTACTTGTTTTAAGAACCAAAAGTGTAGGAACTGAACAATTACTATTCCCACATGGGCAATGAGAGAGAATTCACGATTTGTGCGGCAATCAATAGAATTATGTTTGTCCTAATATGAAGAGTAGGTGAATTAGTAAGTTCCTTTGTCTCAATAGCAAGTGATTTTGGGTTTTAGTCTTATGGGTGGTCTTTTATTAGGATCATTCTCGAGGACACCATCCATATAACGCATAATAGATTTTTGTCTATGGCCACAGATCTTATCTTGGCCTAAAGAGCAGAACAATCTATTTATTGTGGATTTTTCTTCTTTTTTGAAAAGAAAAGGATTTTTTCCTCTTCAAAAAGGGAAGCCATCATATTTGTCTCGTTAACAGGCTATGCTATATCAAAGAAAAGAAGAAAAAAAAAAAGAGGGAGGCAAAACACCATGACATTTGGTTCTACTTGCAAAGGTTAAGGGTACATATTCCTTATGCTTGGAATGCCTACCTCTTTGGTTTGAAAGACCATGAATGTGTACTTCATTACTGAAAATTCTTTTTTTTTTTTGTTTTTTTCCATTAGAGATTATGGCGGAGCTACTTGTCAACTAACGATGACACAAAAGGGGAATGGGTTCTTTCTTTTGTTAGGATCTTAATGGTTGTTCCTATATTAGTACAATTCAGGCGCTGGAATCTTTCTCTTTCACTCCATTTAGCTAAGGAAAATAAAAGGAACAAAAAGGGAGAGAGGGGAGGAGCCAATGAGCTTTGTTTTTAATCTTTTTTCAAGGAAGATATTCCTCGAATGACAAATGAATGACCGTTAATGCAGTTTTCAGTTGTGAACCCACCAGGCAGACAAAGCAATTGGGCAGGCGACCCTGCGAAAATTCCAGGAAAGGTACCAAAAGTTGAATTGCTGGCATTGGCATGCCTCTGGGGGTGTAGGCCCCTGAAATAAGCATTGCGATAGAGACCCTTAAAATTTTTCTGTTAGAGGTCGGCAAGTAGGCACGGTCCTTGGTCCTTTGACACCAATCAGACAATACTTTTGGCTGCTTTGCTCTGACAGTGGGGCAATCAAAAAATAAAAAACTAACCATATTTTATTTCGATTACCCTTTCTATTTCTTTTCATTTTTCATTAGAAAATTAAAAAACAAAATGGGTTTCATTTTTTAGGCTTAGTGTCTCTCCACATGTGACAAAGAAGAGGGGGTGGCCGGGTGGGTGTGGTGGGGAAGCTTATTTCTTTCAGTCTGTCAACAGTGCAGCTATAAGTCTATAAATTCGAAACCTGAAGGACGGTCCCAACCCCTCCACAAGGGTAACATGGGTATCTGCCGATGTGGGGGCATTTTCCAGAGTTGGAAGTTATGGCTTTCAACATTATTTTTTATTAACGATTTATTAACGATGCTAATTTAAGTATCAAATTTGTTATCCATTTATTAGTTTAAGTATAACATTAATTTTTTAAAAAAATTGAGATACTAATTTAAACATTTACCTACGTCATTGTTTTGCTACGACAATTGACAAAGCTCGAAGGCCATAAAAGATTTTTTTTTTGGTTCGCTTCAAAATTTGAGGGCATTCATATTATCTCTTTCCATTGCGGAAAATTTGGCCACAGTCGAAATGCTTGTGCTTCTGATGTTGCACATACGGACCCGAACATTGATCAAGCGGTAAGCCAGGCAGATCAGAAGATTGAGGAGCAGTCATTCGGGCCATGAATGATTGTACAGAGGAAGAATCGAAAGCCGCTGCAACATTGCAACAATGGAAAAGTAAAGGACAAGAAATCAGAGTGATTCATGGCGGAAAGAGGGGAATAGATTTGCCGAATTAAGGGAAGCAATCTTGAATGATGATGCTAGGTCAGAATGTTTCTGATGATAGTGGTGTTGATATGACATCCATGCAACGTAATTATGGGGAGACAAATCACAAGATGGGATTGAATCCAGATCAAAAGGAAGGTCAAACAAGGAAGAATAGTGGGAAAACAGTAGGTAACTAGAAGGCTATGATGTGGATAAAATGACTGAGCAATGGACTTCTGTATTAATTTTGGGCCAATGTCCATTCCGATTTCCAAGCCCAAGTTACCAAGTATCAAAATCATTAAGGTTAAAGATGAACATGCAAGCCCAAGCGTTCTAGTCTTAGTGTAGCCACAATCGAGCCATACATACTAGTGGTATTGTTACAAGTCCTATGGTTCTGCCCTAGCAAAAATCCTCCTTCTTGCATGGAGCCAGGTTGATCTAAGGCGCGAGGAATCTGGTTTACGCTCTGGAGATGCAAGAATGGTAGAAGATGCTACTTTGACAACCATGTTCTTGACACCTTTTTTAGTTGTTTTTATTTTACTACCTTTTCCTTTGTAAGTTCTGTTTTGGAATTGTAGTGGAGCAGGTAGTGCGGAGATTTTTTAAGGCATGCAGAAGAGTTTATTGTTGCCCATAGAGTTCATGTATAGTGGGGAAGTTGCGGATAGAATGATTCATAGACTACAATTTGATTCAGGTTTATGCCCGTGGTTTTTCAGGAGGTCTATTGATTCTTCTGAAATCCAGCATGGGGAAACCCAAAATGATAATAACAATATGTTCCTATGAAAAAAATGCTAAGCTCTCTTCTTCTTCAATTAATGGAACTTAGAACAACATTTGTAGGGCCAGCCACTATTAAACCCGTTAAAATTGACAGATGGACTTTCGCTGTATTGGGGCCCACTGGTCGCTCAAAATATTTTAGTTCTCACACACAAAAATCTATAACTTCTTTCTTCTAACCTCTAGTTTCGGCCTGCCCAATTGCCCTTCCCCATAGGTAACTTCGTTTTCTAGTAAGATTAGAACTCTTTCCCCATATGTGAGAAACCAAAATTTCAATCCGGGAGATTACAACTCAGTTAGAAATATATCAGCGGAAACTTAGGATGATTTGCTATCAATTTATCACAATAAGGTTATCTTGATTAACACTCCTTTGGGATTTAGTTGCTGCAACTTTTACTTGGAAAAGAAACAAAAAAAGAACCATTAATATTTATAATTTGACAACCAGGCCATAGTTGGATTTTTATATTATATTACTGGTATATATCTATAAAGCAATAACATTAAAATGTAAAGAAACAATTTTACAAGTATTCCAATAGAGAGATAGAATCAAAATAAATTATTATCAAGGGGTGGGGGACTGTGGGAATAGTACAAGTAAAACACTCACCTTTACAGACAAATCAAGAAACAATAGACCCTCCTTCCAGCTTTTTCCATGAGTTTCTCACCGCTGGTAACAATGCGTGGGGTCATCAGATCTCCAGCAGGAAAGAGGAGTAAAGCTTGAGCAACTCAAATTAGGAATGACGACAAATAAGCACCTACACCTTGATGAATGCTCAACCATTACGCATTAAACTGCGGTGCTGGACACAAGTGAATGATCATGTGGTAGCTGCAGGCACAGTGAGGGTCATAAGATCATCAGTTACTATGTAGGGTTCCAATGGTTTTGCGCTCGAATTCTTTAATGGTGTTGGTTAGCTTCTTCATGTTGTCATCATAGACATAGGGTAGCTTATTGAACCAAGTGACATTGTTCTTGGCAGAAAGGGGGAGGTATTCCCGGCACAGCTCTTCGTGTACGGTAATCGTGTTGTGATAGTGATAGTAACGAATCTTCGTTTCTGTCTTGTGTAATGTCTTCCCAATCACATTCTCCGACATGTGCACCCCTGTAGCATAGGCATTCTTTGCCTGAATTGCATATTTCCTGTCACGCCGAATTCCGGTTCTTGATTCCCTGAAGAGCAGCTTCTCAAATCCCCATTGCCTGCCAAATCGTATGAATGAATAACATAAAATTCTATAATCTGCACAGGTTGCAGTTGAACCAAATGTGCAAATGAGTTTCATTTCTTTACTTGGTCCTGAACTACTGATTAAGCATAACTAAAACTAGGAAGACCTATGCTTTAATCTCTCATTTTTTTCCATTCTTAAGAACATAATAACAAAACTATTGCAATTGAACAGATGAACATAAGAAAAAATTCTAATTGAGATGGTGACTGATGAAATTACCTGGAATATTGTTGAGAGGAATCATTCAAGCAGAGCACACTAGACATTGGATTCTGCTCAATAGTAAACTGTGTATAATCGGAGAACTCATTCAGCACCGATTCCAGTGTATTCCCATCAGGCAAATAGATATACTCGTCCACATCGAAGTAGAAAGTCCAATTGGCAGCGTGTCGATGGCGGTGCAGACAATCATTGACCACCAAAAACTGGTTATAATAATACCCATCGAATTCTACCTGGCCTCGGATGTCCTGCACCGTAGCTCTCCCAGCTCGCATCCAAGGTTCGAGCGCTGCCCTGACCTCAGGCGTGACCCCACCAGCATCATGAAACACGAAATGCGAGCTTGGCCCAAAGAACCAGGCGTGGTAAGCCATCCATTCTCTGATCCTGTCAGCGCTGAGGTTCCCATACAGAGACGACCCACAGTACAAATACTCGTACTGAAAAGGTGGTTGGTACTTGGATTCATCATAGGATCCAGGGGCCTCCTCCAAAGCCATGAATTTCTCGTACTTCCTTTGGGACTCCCCGTAGTAGGCGTTGATCATCAGCTTTCCGCCAACATTGTCTTGGTTTGGGTTGAAAGGGAAGGTGCAATTCACCACCACCACGGTGTAGACACGCCCATACCCCCAATCGGGAAGCATTTTGTAGGCCTTGGCCTTGAAAGAAGACCCATTATTTGAGATCCACTCGCATTTGTACCACGGCTTACCAAACACGTGAATGGGCTTCGAAGCCAATCCCACCACCGCGAACGTTGTAGGACCTCCCCTGTAAGCACCCATCTGTACAAACAAAGCAGCCGCGTTCCCGTAAGCCTCGAACACCCGCTTATTTGTGTCGCTGGGTTTAGCTTTAGGAGCCGAGTAGTATTTCTTTTCAGCAACTGGAGTGGCCGTATAAGGGAGTGAGGCATTGGTGGAGAGTAAACTGGTGGTAGCGGCGGCGGCGACGGAGGTAAGAGGTGGAGCAGAGCAGGGACGGGTGGTGGATAGGAGGTTTTGGTAGTAGGGAGGAAGGTTCCAAAGAAGCATAACTAAAGTGAGGGCCAGCAATGTGGCAACTAATGGTTTTGTTTCAAAGCAAACAAATAGCTTCCCGACGGTGGTGGCGGCGGAAGGGGCGGAGGAGAGCGCCGCTTCCTTTCTCATTTTGGTGACAGTTACGGCGGGGATGGTTATTGTTGTGATGCTTATTTCTTTAGTGTTGATTTTGATTATTCCCCCAAAAAAAAAAAAAAGTGTCAAATGGGGGTCATACCGACACAATCTTTTTTTTTTTTGGCGTAGTGAAAAGCGCTAGATGCTCATCCTCCTCTAGACCTCCTGCCTCGGCTTCCTCTTCCGATTCATTAATTTATCAAATATTATTTATATAATATGAGATGGCAATACTGCTACAAGGTTAGGTCTTGATCTCCTTTTATTTACCAAATTGACACTCTATTTTATTTTTTTATTAAAAAATCATTAATATATTTTTAATTATAATTCAATTATAATTTAATAATTTAATATTTTATTACAATTAATTAAGTTCTTAATTTTTTTTTATTTTGACTTACTTAAACATTTAATTGCACGAATTCTAATTACATGAAAAAATTAAATCAAATAATATTCAAATTACAATTAATTAAACTTTTAAAGGAGTTTTAAAGAGAAAATAAAAGAAGAAATAGAGGAAAAAAAGAAAAAATATTATTTTGTTTAATTTATATATATTAATTGAGCAATGTAATAAATTTTTATTTATTTTATTAATGTCATATAAAATTTTATTAATTAGTAAAAAATTAACGATGTTAATTTTTTTATTTAAATAAAAATTTAATTAAATATAAATAAATATTAAAAAAATTGATTAATTGTAATAAAAATAAAGATTTAAATAAAATTTTAATTATAATTCACGAACATTTTATACCCTTTAGCTTTGATTTTTTTTTTCTAGCATATCTTGTTCATTTAGCATTCGCCAAACCATCATCGTTGTAAGGTGAAAACTAGCAACTTTAATCATGCCCCATTGGTTAAGTCCTTGTTTGGATTTCATTGTATTTTTGATATGATGCAATTAAATTTATTACATTTTTAATTAAATTTAAATATTAATTTTAATAAAATCAAAACAATATAAATTTTTTATTAATTTTTTTTCAGTAACAATTACGATAATTTTTGTTTTCAATCATAATTATAATAAATTTTTTTATTATTTTTAATTTCACCATAGTTAATCCACTATTCATCCAAACCTAAAACCTTTGAAAACAACAAAATCAGACATGCATGATTTTTGCCCAAACTACCCAAGATTTTAGGAATTTCCTTTTTGTTCTTACAACGGCTATCCACCCCCGGAATAGCAGCAATCATCCAAGTTTTATGCTTTACAATTAACCATTTCCTAGGCAATCATTGAACTTCTTAATCCGCTCAATATTTTCTTTTCTTTTTTTTTTTTTATCCAACTGGTTTGAGTGTATCAGTCGAGAAACAAGCAATGCACTAATTTACAACAAATTATAGATACTAAATTTTATCTGAATCTACTTGATTAATTTTTGTCTTCAAGTTTTGTTTATTAATAATTTTGATATTATTATAAAAATATAATAATTAAAAAAAACAAAAAACAACAAAAAAAGAAACAAAAGAGAAAATAAAAAGAAGAAAAAAAATCGGGATTGCAGTGGTGTCTTGCACAGCACCACTGACCACCCATCATACTGCCATCACCATCCTCAGTCCTGTCAGAATCCCTGCACCTCACTGGCCCTAACTGCCCAGAATCACCACCCATACCTTGCCAGGCACATGCTCTACCTGCCATTACCATTCTCAGCCTTATAAAACACCAAACCTTTCGCCTTTCAGCTCTCTCAAACTCTCAAACTCTCAGACACGGAAGCACCAAAACTCAAATACCTAGAAACCCACAAGCTTTCCCACACTCCCACTCACCTACCAAACCGCAAACAAATCCACAACAAAAAATAAAACACAGTCCTCCCCGTAGGGAGGAACCCAACGTCAAGCCATTTGCAAAAAAAAAAAAAATCGTCAATTTTGTTTTTTTTTTAAAAAGAGGAGACCGAAAGCTTCAAGCCCCGATCTACATCGATCAGGGCTATTTTGGTAAAACGGACACCAAATCTGAAAAGATCACGTTGAGGTAAATGTTTTTAGAGTTTTTTATGTTTTTCGACCACCGACAATAGCCTATCAATAGCGGTAGGCGCTGTGGTCGGCACGGTGGCTCGGACGCCGATGACCAAACACTAACAGAACCTTTGGGAGCTCTCTCTAGAGCTCTGAAGAACTTTTTTTTTAGAGCAGAAGATAAAGTGAGCTGAAAATTTTTTTTTTGCTTTTGTATAGAAGAACCAAACCCAAAACGATGTCATTTTGGACTAAGGAGATCTGCGTGTCAACCCGGATCCGACCTGAGATTCACGTAACTCGACCTGCTTCTATCTAGGCTCAAAATCGATCCAATTGAATCGGTATCGAACCGCCAGTGAATTGGTTCAGACCAATTTGAATCGTTGAATAGCTGAGTCGACCAGATCGACCTTTGACTGAACCTTTGACCGATCCAATTCAGGTAAAAAAAATTTTTTAAAATTTTTAAATTTTTTATATTATTATTTTTGTCATTTTGAGTATTTTTTTCATATTTATGCATGATAAATTTTTAAATTTGTTAGAATAAATATTTGATTGTTTTTAATAATAATAAAATGAAAATAAAATAGGATAATAACTAAAAAAAATACTAAAAATGCTTAAAATAATAATAATAATAATCTAAAAAATAATAAAAATTTAATAATATATTTTATTTTATTTTTATTTTTCTGTCTAGATATTGGAGGGAATAAAAACGCACTTTTAAAAATAATTTTGCCTAGATGTTGAAGAATTATTATAAAAAAAATTATTAATAAAAAAGGGTATAAAAAGGATAATAATAATAATAATAATAAATTTTCATAAAAAATGAAATAAATGAAAAAATTTTAATTAATGTTTAAAAATTATGAAAATCGAACTTGCTCTGAAAATCTGCCTAGATGTTGATGAATTTTAGAGATGTTCACGTTTTCTTTAAACCCTAAAATCCAAACCCTAAATTTCAAAACCCAAAAATCAAAACTCCAAAATTAAGCTCCAAACCTTCAAACCCTAAAATTAAACCCCAAACTTTCAAACCCTAAAATTAAACCCTAAACCCTCTGAACCCTAAAAATGAAACCCTAAACCCTCTGAACCCTAAAAACGAAACTTTAAACCCTTCAAACCCTAAAATCAAATCCTTAAAACATCCAAACCCTAAAACAAAAACTTCAAACCTCAAACCCCAAAATTAAAACCCTAAAATAAAAAATCCTAAACCTAAAAATCTAAATTTCTAAAACACCTAAAATCCAAAATCCCAAACCTTAAAATCCAAAACCTAAAAATCTAAAATTCTAAAAACCCCAAATTTGGTACGCATTCTCGAATCATCATCCGAAAGTCACAAAATCTTTAAAACCTCGACCTAAACCTATACCCTAAACATTTTCGAAACTTTAAGGATATGTGCGAAAATCTTAAGTGGAGTAATTTATTCTCGAATGCTGCTAGATGATGGGGTATTTAAAGAAATTTTATTCCATTAAAATTTTCTCATGAGTCCTTAATTCGCTTTAACAATTGGGTTAATAACTGATTAATAATAAAAGTATAATAATAAAATGGGATCTTAAATATAAATAGTTGCACCTAAGCTCTGCCTAGATGTGGAAGAGTCAATGTGGTCTCATTATACTTAAGAATCCATTTGTTTGTGTTGCATAATATTCATTGGCATACATACGTTATCATGTTATCATTGGCAATCATTTGTATTCTTCTGTCTTTAATTTTTCTTTTTTATTTACTACTTGTGATAAAATATTTTATAATAAAAAGGAATAATACATTTTTAAAAAATTTATGATATTATAAAATAAAATAAAAATAACATTCCGAAAGAAATGATTCTTGGTAATCTGCCTAGATGTTGGAGAGTCACCAACAATTATCTTCTACAAAGAGTGTTATTTCATTTTAAGGGATATTATATTAAATCTTAAGTGAAAAGAGTTATCTTAAATTCTGCCTATATGTTGGAGAATTTTAAGAAAATTTTTTAACTTAGAGATTTTCTCAATATTTCTAAATAAAAAATTTTAGCAAAAAAATATATTTTTTTAAAACGAAGGGAATTAGTATTAAATTTCAAGTTAAAACCATTTTATCCAACACCGAAAATAACGCATGATTAAATGGTACCAATTTATGGGCGTTGTGGGGTGCTAATCCTTCCTCACATGTAACCGACTTTCGAACCTAACCTGATTTTCGTAGACTGAAATTTATCTTTTTGATAAACTTTAAACCCACTTTTAGAGTTTTATTAAAAAGATAAACTTTTGAGTGACCAATCACACCCTAAAACAGATTGATGACGACTCCCTTTTTATTTTCATGATTTTAAAATTTCTTACGTCCGGCGGTTTTAAAATCGTTACGACAGCTTGACGACTCCACTGGGGGCTGTTTAAGAGTCAGGCCAAATTTTAATTATGCGCTATTAATGGTCGTTGGATTTAATTGGTTTTATTTGAGATTTAATTTAATTCCCTTAATTTTAATTTTTCAAAATATATATACATACAAGTTAATAAATAAAATAAATTATATGTTATTTATTACTTTATTTTGATTTTGCGTTTATGATTTATTTATGTTATTTTGATTAATACTTTACTCTGCACACACTTTGCATATGCATTGACATGCATGAGCTCTATGCCCGAGCTCCGTCCCTTTTAGGAGGAAGTGAAGTAATTACACTCTCGTGAGGTGATAACCTCCGCATTTACTAGTGAAACACTTCCATTCAAATTGAACCATTTATTTTCGTAGCCTGTAATAGGTGAAGATTGAGGTACCTTACTAGTCCAGTATGGATGCTAGTGAGGAACAATTTGGGAACCTTTAGATGAACAAATCCCATTTTCTTGAAGTTTTTTTTTCCCCTTTTGACATGTATTTCATTCATTTGGTAGTTATCCAAAATTTGTATTTTCATAAAATATTTTTGAATTATTTTTAGCATTATCCAACAAGCAAAAAATGAAAAATTTTTTAAATTCTTTATTTATTGGCTAAATAAAAATTAATTTTTTTGAGTCATTGTCGTAACGTCTAGATCCGGGGATCTATCGCTAGACATTGACTTAAGGGAGTCGCCACCAATCTTTTTTATCAAGGTGCGATTGGCCACC